TGTATTAGTTACTCAAGCTGCCATAAAATATGACACACTGGATGGCTTAAACAACAGAAATTTATTTTCTCACCGTTCTGGAGGCTAGAAGTCCATGATCAAGGTGCTGTCAGGGTTGGTTTATAGTGTGATCTCTTTTCCTGGCTCCTATGCAGCTGCATTTTCCCTCTGTCCTTGCCTGACTTCTTCTCTTTACACACACAGAAATAGAGAGCTGTGATGTCTCTTCCTCTTCTTACAAGGATACCAACCCTATAGAATTAGGGTCCCACCCTTCTGACTCATTTAACCTTAATTACCTCCCTAAAGGCCCTATCTCCAAACCTAGTCACATTGGGGGTTAGGGCTTCCACATATGCATTTTGAGGGGGACACAATTCAGTCCATAACACATGGATATACCAAATTTTGTTTATCCATTCATCAGTTGATGGATGTTTATGTTGGTTCCACTTTTTAAAAAAATAAATTTATTTACTTTTTATTTTTGGCTGCGTTGGGTCTTCATTGTTGTGCGTGGGCTTTCTCTAGTTGTGGCGAGCAGGGCTACTCTTCGTTGCAGTGCGCAGGCTTCTCATTGCGATGGCTTCTCTTGTTGTGGAGCACAGGCTGTAGGTACATGGGCTTCAGTAGTTGTGGCATGCGGGCTCAGTAGTTGTGGCTTGCAGGCTCTAAGGCTCAGGCTCAGTAGTTGTGGTGCCTGGGCTTAGTTGCTCTGCAGCACATGGGATCTTCCCAGACCAGGGCTCAAACCCATGTCCCCTGCATTGGCAGGCGGATTCTTAACCACTGCGCCACCAGGGAAGTCCTGGTTCCACTTTTTGACTATTATGACTAATGCTGCTATGAACATTCATGCCAGGGTTTTGTGTGGATATATTTCATTTCTCTTGATTATATACCTTTGAGTGGAATTGCTAGGTCATATGGTAATTTTATGTTTAACTTTTTGAGGAACTGCCAAACTGTTTCCACAGTGGCTGCACCACTTTACATTCCCACCAGCAATTTATGTGGGTTCCAGTTTCACAACCTCATGAACACTTGTTATTGTTCTTTTTTTTTTTTTTTTTAAATACAGCCATCCTAGTGGGTTTGAAGTGGTGTCTCGTGGTTTTGGTTTTGATTTGATTTCCCTAATGAATAATGATGTTGAACATCTTTTCATGTGCTTATTGGCTATTTGTATATCTTCTTTGGAGAAATGTCTGTTTGAGTTATCTGCCCATTTTTAAAAAATAAATTTATTTATTTATTTTTGGCTGCGTTGGATCTTTGTTGCTGCGCACAGGCTTTCTCTAGTTGCGACAAGCAGGGGCTACTCTTTGTTGCGGTGTGTGGGCTTCTCATTGTGGTGGCTTCTCTTGTTGCAGAGCACTGGCTCTAGGCATGCGGGCTTCAGTAGCTGTGGCTCGCGGGCTCTAGAGCGCAGGCTGTTGTGGCACATGGGCTTAGTTGCTCTGCGGCGTCTGGGATCTTCCTGGACTGGGGCTTGAACCCGTGTCTCCTGCTTTGGTAGGTGGATCCTTAACTGTGCCACCAGGGAAGCCCTATTTGCCCATTTTTAAATTGGGTTGTTTTTTCTTTTGTTTTTGAGTTGTAGATCTTTATAGACTGTGAGTACTAGATTCTTATCAGGTGTATGATTTACGTACATTTCCTCCCATTCTGTAGGCTATCTTTTCAGTTTCTTGATAATGTCCTTTGATACACCCTAAAGTTTTTTATTTTGATGAAGTCCAGTTTATTTATTTTTTCTTTTGTTGTTTGTGGTCTTGCTGTCATATCTCAGAATCCACTGCCAAATCCAAGCTCATGAAGATTTACTCCAATGTTTTCTTCTAAGTTTTATAGTTTTAGCTCTTAAATGTGTACCTTCAATCCACTTCAAGTCGATATTTTGTATATGGTGTGAAGTAAGGGTCTAACTTCATTCTTTACCATGTGGCTATCCAGTTGTGCCAGCACAATTTCTTTTTTTTTCTCTATCTGAATTTTTTTTGATTGACAGTTGATTGACAATATTCTGTAAGTTTCAGGTATACAACATAGTGATTCACAATTTTAAAAGGTTATACCCCATTTATAGTTATTATAAAATATTGGCTATATTCCCTGCCAGTACCATTTCTTAAAGAGACTATTCTTCCCCCATTGAATGGTCTTGGCACCCTTGTTGAAAATCAGTTGGCCATAGATGTGTGGATTTATTTCTGGACTTTTGATTCTATTCCATTGATCAGTATGTGTTCTTATGCCAGTATCACACTGTTTTGATTACTGTAGCTTTGTATTATGTTTTAAAACCAAGAAGTATGAATCCTCCAAATTTGTTCTTTTTCAATATTGTTTTGGATATTCAGGATACCTTGCATTTCTGTATGAATTTCAGGATCATTTCTACAAAAAAGGCAGTTAGAATTATGATAAGGTTGTACTCAACCTGTAGATGTATTTAGGGAGTATTGCCATATTAACAATATTTAGTCTTCCAATCCATAAACAGAGGGTGTCTTTCTATTTCTTTAGGACTTCTCTATTTTCTTTCAATAATATTTTGTAGTATTCAGTGTACAAGTCTTACACTTCCTTGGTTCAGTTTACTCCTAAGTATTTTATTCTTTTTGATGCTATTATAAATGAGTTGTTTCCTTAATTTCATTTATGATTGTTCATGGGTAGAAGCTAGAAGAACTTTGAGAAGCATGATAGAGAAGACATAAATTACCTTGAACAGACTTAGGAGGAATCTGGATTTGGAGGAAGCTGTAGGGGAGGGCTCAGAAGGAAATGAGGAACATGTTATTAGAAACTGGAAGCAGGGAGATGCTTGTTATTTTGTGGCAGAGAGCTTAGTGAAATGGTCTCCTGTGGTCACGTGGAAAGCAGAACTTTTAAGTGATCATCTTGGTTGTATAGCTAAGGAGATTTCCAGTCAAAGTGTTGAAGGTGAGGCCTGATATTTTTCTTGCTGCTTATAATCAAACACGAGATGAGAGAGATAAATTGAGGGAAAAACTATTAAACATAAAGAAACCAGGACTTGATGATTTTGAAAATTCTCAATCTCTCTAGATGGCAAAAGATTCTACATAAAGGAAGGCTATCAGACCCCCAAAATTCTACTGGCAGGAAGCAGCCTAATAAAATTACTTATCTACAAACATGTGCTATGTTTCATGAAAAAGGAAGGATGACTCAGAGGTCAAAACCAAGAGCTCAGAAGGTAGAGCAGAAAGCTGAGAGGATTATTTCCAGGCCTTAAAACTTAATGAAGGAACTCCCAGTATTTTCACAGCTGGATTTCAGAATTGCTGTGGACCCTTTTTTACTCTTCCCTCCCCAACCCCAGCCTTTTAACTGGAGTGTCTATAATGGTTATCCTTTTCCTGGCCCACTATTGTATGTTGGGTGTGTTGGGGTCAAATAACTTGTCCCTAGGAGTAGAATGGCTGGATTATATAGTTAGATGTTTATATACCTGTGTATATAAGCTTTAGTTTCATAGGTTTATAGATGGAAAGGAATTGTGCCTCAGTAATTTCACTTCCTGTATTACATCCAGGAACTTCATTCATACCAGGACCTGATTCAAAGTCTTTGGAGCTGATGCTGTAATAGATGATTCTCTTGGAAACCTTTGAAGGGAGTTGAATGTACTTTGCCTGTGGGAGCACATGAATCACTAAGGGCCAGTGGGAAGACTAGTGGACAAATTCCAAGGTGCACCCCCCACCCCCCGCCATGATTCTCAGCTCTTGATGTTCACACCTTCGTGTAAACCCGTCCCTTTGAGCATGGGCAGGACCTGTGACTTGCTTCAGATCATAAGATGATGGTAAAAGTGATGGGATGTCACCCCCATGATTATGTTATATAAGTTTCTGTCTTGCTAGCAGATTAGCACTCAGTCTTTCTTGCTGGCTTTGGAGAAATAAGCTGCCATGACTGCTACAGCTACAAGAAACTGGATGCTTCCAAAAACACACAAAAGGGGAAGTGGATCCTTTCCTAGTTGAGCCTCTACATGAGAACCCAGCTTTAGCCAACACCTTGATTGCAGCCTTGTGTGATCTTAAGTAAACGACTAGCTGGCTGTTCCTGGACTTCTGACCCACAAATCTGTGAGATATAAATGTGTGTTGTTTGAAGCTGCTAAGTTTGTGATAATTTTTGTGCAACATAGAAAATCAATACAGACAATTCTTAAGAAGTTAAATATACATTTAACCATATAATTCAACAATTTCACTTGAAGAAATCTACCCAAGAGAAAAGGAAATATATGTCAAAATTCTTGTACACTAGTGTTTGTAACAGCATTAATAGTCCAAAAATGAAAACAATCCAAATGTCCATCAACAGATAAATGGGTAAACAAGTTGTGGAACAATGGACTACAACTCAACAATAAAAGGAATAAATTATTGACACACACAGTGACATGGATGACTGTCAAAATGATCACACTGAGGGAAAGAAGCCGACAAAATAAGAGTAAATACTACATGATACCATTTAAGCAGATAAGTTGTCATTTGGGGATGGTGGGTCAGGCAGGGGCAGGAGGGAGGGATTACAAGGTTATTAACTTTGAGGGTAATGGATATGTTCACTATATTTATTGTCTCATGGTTTCATGGCTGTATACATAGGTCAACTTATCAGATAATACACTTGAAATATGACTGGTTTATTGTATATCAATTCTTCAATAAAGCAGTTTTTTAAATGTATTTGCACATGTTTTTTCTCACATGTTTTTTCATGTTTTTGAATAATTATATTCAAAGAGAAAGCACAATCTCTATCTAGTCATCATAGAGTAGGCCTTGTTACTCATCCACTCATCCCCAGATACTTTCCAAATATCTGTTAGTTTCTATGAGAAATACAAATATGATTCTTTTGTACTAATGAACATATAATTTAATAGACTGGTTACGGTTTGGAAAGCATAAACAACTATTTTTTAATATTGTTTTCACAAAGAGCCTTACCAGAAGCAAATCCCTCCCAGTGACTATGTGTCAGCTGCTCCATACAGCTTAGGACCTTGCTCCACACATCGTCAAACACATAAGCAAGGACATCCTCTTTCATGCAGTAAAATGGAGCAATGGGTGGGTACCCTAATTTCTGTTTCTCTGTAGCTGCTTCTGATTTCTTTCCATGAAACCCCTCTTCCCTGTTAACAGAAGCAAGAAGGAAAGACTTCATGGTTATTCTTCACTGGGTGTTCACCACTGTCTTTTGGCTGCTTAGGAGTGTGATTTATGCTCTTCCCCTCCACCACCCGCTTCCTCCCCGCATATATAGCACAGGTATTAAATAGGTTTGTGAACTAGGGGAGTTTTCAACAGAGGAGACTCTGCATTTCCGTTTTTACACCCATCCCACCCCACCCCCCCACTCTGCCAAAAAAATAGAACAAGAAAAAGAAGACAGAATCATTGTACATTTTAAAGCTTTAAATAGATGGGCATTTTAAATTGATCAACAAGCAACCTATGACAATTAAGCACACAAAAATACTCTTTTTGTTGTAACTGGATAACATTTAGATTAATATTAACTTGACACATTTAACGATGCACATATAACTGTGATTATGCTGCATAATTATTTGAGGCAATGATTCATTAGGGAAATAGTCCACATAGATTATTAAAATTAGTATACTTTTACTAATCCAAATAAACATTTGGTAATTGGCTGTAAAGGAAAAAGAGGGAAGCCCAACAGCACAGGAAACTACTCTGAGACTCTTCTGGAGACTGTGTATCTATAATCCAGAAACTTCCAGTTAGGCAAGTCTGTCTCTTCTCTGGCAATGAGTGCCAGTAGCCCCAGATTTCTGGGGGAAGAAAATTTGGCTGATGGATGTGCTTATCTATGACAGATGTATTATAAACTAAGACAAAGCAAATTCTGGAACTGGCTTGGGTGGAGAGAAGTACCTTTACAGTGAAAGTTACTCCTAGGGCAACAAAGTGCTCAAGAATGAAATAGGAAACTGTAGGCAGGCAAGAAGGATGCTAAGAGATTTAAGCAGGGCAGCCAGACTCCCTTTGCTTCTCCTTTCCCAAGGAAGAGCTAGCCTGGCATTAAGTGGCAGAGGAGGCTGATTAGCATTAAATGTATTTCAATTTGTATTTCTTTTTAGAGGAGATAACATAGTCATATGATAAAAATTCAAATTGTATAGAAGGAAATATATGTATGTAGTGAAAAATAAGTCTCCTACATCTCTGTCCCCCAGTCCCCATTCTCAGAAGCAAACACATAGGTCCAGAGAGATAGTTACATTATACACTGTACTGCACCTCACTCTTCTGTCAATGTATCTTGTCCATGATCCCTATCAATATATATAGATCTGCCTCTTTTAAAAAATAAGAGTATTCCATTGGATATACCATAATATATCTAACTAGACAGTTATTGATCAACTAACCTTTGCTTTTATAATCAATACTGCAATTAATACCCTTCTACAGATATTCCTCAACTTACGTATTGGGTTACAGCCCAATGAACTTATGAAAATATCGTGTCAAGAATGCATTTAATAGGCCTAACCTATTGAACATTATAGCTTAGCACAGCCCACCTTAAATGTGCTCAGAACACTTACATTAGCCTACAGCTAAGCAAAATTATCTAACACAAAAACTATTTTATAATAAAGTATTGAATATCTCATGTAATTTATTGTATACTCTACTGAAAGTGAAAAGCAATGGTTGTATGGTTTTAAGTATATTGGTTGTTTACCCTCATGATTGTGTGGCTGACTGGGAGCCGCAGCTTGCTGCCGCTGCCCAGCATCCCGAGAGAGTATCATACTGCATATCGCCAGCCAAGGGAAAAAAAATCAAAATTCAAAGTACAGTTGCTACTGAATATGTATCACTTTTGCACCATCGCAAAATCAAGAAATCATAAGTCAACTCATCTTAAGTTGAGAACAGTATGTATGTACTTCTTTGGTTACATGGGTATTATATCTGTAGGATAAATTCCTATAAATAGCATTATTGAGTCAAAGGGTAAGTGCATTTCAATTTAAAGAGGTGGTATACATAGGATCCAGAAAGTATACTCTCGGGCATTTATCCCAGAGACATGAAAATTTCTGTTCATACAAAAATCTGTGCATGAATGTTCACAGTAGCTTTATTAATAATAGCTAAAAGCTAGAAATAGCCCAGGTGTCCTTCCACAGGTGCACAAACTGTGGTACATCCATACCATGGAACGTGCTGACAATAAAGAAGAATAAATTTTTGATAAACCTAAGTAAATAAATAAATAGGTGGTATAATTCTCCAGTAGTGAAAGAATATGCCTCTTTTCTCATTCAAGGAATTATTAACCTTCTTTATCTTTTGTCCTTTGATAGTCTGACATGTAAAAGAATACTCATTATAGTTTTAATTTGCATCTCTAATTGTGAATGAGATTGAATTCCATTTCATATATTTAAAATCCATTTTCTTATAATGTGAACTATTCATGTTCTTTGTTTCATCTTTAATCTTTTCCTTACTGATATACATATTAGGGAAATTAAGCCTCTGTGTATGCATGAAAGCAAATATTTTTGCCAGTTTGTCATTTGGCTCTATGAATTTTTGCTATGCAGAAATATTATTTTATGTAGTTTTTTTAAAGAATTTCTTAAATGACTTGTAGATTTTGTGCTATGGTTAGAAAGACCTTCCCTATTCCCAAGTTATTTAAAAAAAAAATCTTTCATATCTCATTTTCTTCCAAACTTACATGATTTCATTCATCACATCTCAATATCTCAGTGATATCTCTAAAGAGAAGACTGCCTTTCTAAAAATCTTCCATTTTACCTGAAAATTCATTTGGGTTTACTATCAAGAAAGGGGAAGAGATGCCCCAGGGACACCTATGAGCCATGGACATCACATTTTAAATTAGTTAAATGTGCTGTATTTTTTATAAGCTAAAGTGAAGGGAAAAGACCTTTGAGAAAAAAGGAAGAGAAAATATGGATAATTTGACTCAGGCCAGATGAAGTGAAAGGGAAGGGGGCAATCTCTGCAAAACCAAAACAGCATACTTATGATTCCCTTGGAACAATGAGCTAGCTCAACGGTGTTATGTTTGGAAATCTGGGTTGTGTTTACCTGACCCTAGGACTGTGTACCTTGAGCATGTAGTAAGCATGGCTCAGTAGGAAATATGGGAATAAGTCAAGAATCATGTGACACTAACTAGACCTAACCACAGCCTCACAGCCTAAAATGAAATTCTCACTTCTAGATGTACTACTGTGACTATCAGTTCTGAGCTTTTAAAGGCTTAGAGGAATAATTTAAGAGTTTAATATATCAGAAACGTAGCATGGAATAGTGAAGAGAGCACTGGATTTAGAATCAGATGAATAAAGTTTTCATGAGTTACTGGTGATACTTTACAAAGAGGAAAATCAAATTATGTGGAGAAAAAAATTCATTTAAAAAATGTTTAATCTCAGGAAGAGGCAAATGACGTGTGCAGGAAGAAAATATACAAGGAAGACTGGTATGTGAAAGCAATAGGAATTTATATCAACTAAGTACATGACAGTGGATAACTGAGAACTAATAGAAAAGAAAGAAACACATCAACTTAATTACAGGTAATATTGGTAGTATACTTTAGAAAAAATAGATATTAACAACAAAATAGCAGGGGAGTAAAAAGTTTAAGAGACATAATACTCACATATCTGTGTGGTCGAATGCTAGGTATTCCTCTATTATTCCTTCCGAGAAGATTATACAGTCTTCCTCTTCTCTTTCCATAGAACACAAGCTAGGGGATTTGGCAATGGAAGATGCTTTAGGAGCATATGAAGATGAAAAATGTAACTTCTTTCCCCTAATACCAAATCTGGAAGAGGAAAAATATTAATTATGTTCAACATAAACAGTTCTCAAAGGAACTCATTCGCACAAGTTTCAGCTCAAGGTCCCTTGCCCTAGTGACACCTTCCTGGGTTACTCTAAACCTTAATACCTGTTATTTCTCAGAACAGGAATAAATAAATACTAGCCATAGACCCACTCTGCTTAGGTATATTATGCACTATTGAATACTGCTTGCTATCTTTTCAGATGCAACAGCTATGGCTATAAAATAAGTTTTTTAAAAAAATCTAATAATATTTACATTCATAATTAGCTCTTTAAAGTACCTCAGGAGGTTATATGTTTATTTCAATAACTCCATCATTGTTCAAAATGTATACTCCTAGAGGGCAAGTATCTTCCCTTATATTTAAATTTCTCATCCTACCCAGGTATTCAATGAATACATGACGCCTTCACTTCAGCAGGTTTACTTTGGAGAAAGTAAGTCAAATCTGAGCAGTACAATTTTTTAAATGGCTCTCAGTTTAACCAAATATTAAATATAACCAATGTATGCTTTGTGTTATTCTCTATACCTTTTTGTACCTTAAGTATTTTTTAAACAATGAAAAAAGAATAAACCTATGGCACTTTTCAGCAAGGCTAGTGGGAAAATCTTTTTGGGAGACATTTTGGAAATATGTATTAGAAGCCTTAAAACAGAAATACGCTTTGATTCAGTGGTTTCATTTGTAGGGGATTTCCTTCGAGGATATGACCTATAAGATTTAGCTATAAAAATTATCATCACAGAACTGCTTATAATTGCTAAAATTCAAAACTGGCCCAACTGTTTCAAAATATAGGATAGGGGATTGGTTGTTTAAATAATGGCATATTCATGCAATGGAATTCTATGAGGTTACTAAATTAATGTTGGGGGACAAAATGGAAGATTCCCATAATAAAATGGTAATTATAAAAAGATTACAAAATATGTACAGTAATTTCAAAAACCTCTATACATATGTGGCAGAAAATGCTAGGTGCCCCCAATATCGATTCTCCCTGTCTCTCCTAATACATCATGCCACTTTAATTCAGGAGAGCAATACATGCACCTCAAAGATGACATTTCCCACCACCTTGCAGCCAGATGTGACCAATGAGATATGAGCAGAATTGTTATGTGGGACTCTGGGGAGGCTGTTTAAAGAGAACTGGGTTAGCTTTAAGGGATGCCCTTTTGCCCTTCTGCCTTTCCTGCTTCCTGCTACCTGGAAAGTGAATGTCATGTTTGGAACTCTATCAGCTGTCTTGGACCACCAAAAAAAAAAAAAAAACCCAAATTCAGGAAAAGTATCCTGGGCTAGCACAATGTAGCAGAAAGATGAAATGAGTCTAGGACCCTGAAAACACCATACTACCACTGTACTATCTTTAGATACCCTTCCTCCAGACGTCTTTTAAAAGAGAAATTTCTCTGTTATGTAAGCCATTAAATAAGGTGTATGGTTCATAGGAAGTGGTTGGAAGGGTATCAGGCCAGACTGTGAAGTACTTTGTTAATTTGGCTAATTGATAGCAATGGAATTGAAGTTTTTAAGAAGGGGAATGACAGCATCCTTGCTTTAAAAGATCACTGTGGTGGTGATGAAGAGGATAATGTGGTTAGGAGGCTAGTGCAAAAGATGAAACAAGAGCTGGTAAGCTGATGAGAGCCTGGACCATGGCAGGAGGCATGGGGGACAGAGAGACAATAAGAGATGGGAAAACAGTTTGAAGAACAGATATATCAAAACCAGCTGGTATTACCGTTTATAAAAGTCTCTAAACTTGAGACTTTAGGTTTTTTAAGTCTCTGTTCTGAAATTCTAAAACAGTGATACCCAAAATCTAGTCAACAGATTTATGGCAATCCATGACAAAATTTTTACTGATCCACATCAAAATGAGCAAAATAAGAACAATGCTCAGTAAGACTACAAAATGCCCTTTCTTGAAAAGGACTGTCCTTATTTTGAGACATGCTTTTTTGTGTTAATATGTCATTTCTAAAACAGTGGTGTTAGTATTTTTTTTCAACATGACAACATGACAAAATTAAAAGCTGTCAAACCCATGTCAAACACTGCACTCCCAGCATTCCTTATGTTATTGTGCTACTGTATCGTTCCATTTGTATTATTAACCAATCATTTTTTAGTCAGTGGTAACTAATGGATTTACTTGCTCTGAAAAAAAATAGGCTTTTCTAACAAAGTATAGGCCTTTTGGTCAGTTAAAAAATTTTTCAGTTAGATGAGAAGGAAAAGTGTTCCCATTTCCCCTAAAGCTGCAGCAAAAAACAGATAGTATTCTAAATCATAAAGCTGTCTTTGCAAATGTTATTTCTAACAAAGGGATCTTTTAAATCATCAGACTTCAGAGATTACCATGTCTGGAAAATAACCTTTAACTTCTAAAATGTTTGTAATTCTCTTACTTACTAAAAAAATAACAGTGGTCTTGTCTAATAATGTATTGCCCTGATAGTAATATTTAAGTTCAGATCTGTTTTCTTGTGAGCGGAAAGAAATCATTGCCACTTTATTCTTCTCCCACATGCATGGAGGATAAAATGACTTTGCTGGGTTTCTTATTTAAACAAAGAGTTTAATTTGGAGCCAGCCCTCAGGTGTAGGCCTTAGGAGGCAGAATTCTGCAGCCTTCGTGGAGGTGATCACTGCAAGGCCCTCCAGGTTGGCTGGGAGGAACAAGTAGCCAAGAGCTCTCTCCTTCCTGACTAGGATCTGAAAAGTACAATTAACCACTCTCAACTCCATTTCAGACCAAACTTATCTTCCAGTGGACCTCTAGCAATGATCAAAGTAGTGGAAGGTTACATGAAGTTGTGATCTCATGATGCCAAAAGGAAGAAAATATAGCTTAGTACACTAAGAAAGGAAATATGATTGTGGATGGCCCCACCAGTAGAAGAACTGAAAGAGAACATCTCCATCGTTTTGGAGAGCTTCAGAAAGCTCTTTATGTCTGAAAAAGTCTGATTTGTAATTAGCTTGACTGGGCTCTTGCATTTAGGACAGTTGTAAAAAAAAAAAAATCAAAGAAAATGAAAGCAAAAGCTATAATTTGTAATGAGTGACATGAGGGAGGTGGGCTTAGGAGAAACCATACCATGTCACTTTAATGATTTTTTTAAAACTGTGGTGAACAATATAAGATTAAATACACCATCATAAGCATTTAAAACCATACAGTTCAACAGTGTTAAGTATGTTCACATTATTGTGCATCAGATCTCTTGAACTTTCTTATATTGCAAAACTGAAACTCTGATATCCATTAAACACTCATTGCCCCTTCCCCTTCCTCCCCTCCCTTTGGCAACTCCGCTTGTACTTTCTGTTTCTATGATTTAACTACTTTAGATACTAAAGATGGCTGGAATCATATTGTATTTGTCCTTTTGTGACGGGCTTATTTCACTTAGCATAATATCTTTGAGGTTCATCCCTATTGTAGCATGTGACAGGATTCCCTTCTATAATATTCCATCGTATGTATATACCACATTTTCTTTTTTTTTAATTGTATTTTATTTATTTATTTTTGGTTGCGTTGGGTCTTTGTTCTGTGCACAGGCTTTCTCTAGTTGTGGCGAGCCAGGGCTACTCTTCATGGCGGTGCATGGGCTTCTCATTGCAGTGGCTTCTCTTGTTGCAGAGCACAGGCTCTAGGCGCACGGGCCTCAGTAGTTGTAGCATGTAGGCTCAGTAGTTGTGGCTCGTGGGCTCTAGAGCACAGGCTCAGAAGTTGTGGCGCACGGGCTTAGTTGCTCCACAGCACGTGGGATCTTCCCAGACCAGGGCTCAAACCCATGTCCCCTGCATTGGCGGGCAGATTCTTAACCACTGTGCCACCAGGGAAGCCCCCCTTTGTCCATTTTTTAATTGGGTTATTTTTGTGGTTGTTGTTGAATTGTAGAAGTTCCTCATATATTCTAGATATTAGCTCCTTATCAGACATGCAATTTGCAAATATTCTCCCCCATGCCATAAGTTGCCTTTTCACTCTGATGATTGTATCTGTTGACGCACAGAAAATTTTCAGTTTGATGTAGTCCCATTTGTCTATTTTTGCTTTTTGTTGCCTAAGCTTTTGGTGTTCTATCCAATAAATCATTGCCAAATCCAATATCCTGAAACTTTTCCCCTGTGTTTTATTCTAGGAGTTTTAATAGTTTTAGGTCTTCCATTTAGGTCTATAAAATCCATTTTGAGTTAATTTCTGTATATGGTATAAGGGTCCCACTTCATTCTTTTGCATTCTTTCCCCAGCACCATTTGTTGAAGAGACTGTCCTTTCCGCATTGTGTAGTCTTGGCGCCCTTGCTGAAAATTATTTACTCATATATGCAGAGGTTTATTTCTGAGCTCTCCATTCTTTAATGACTTTTTAAGGGTTATAATTCTGTATATAGTCATATACTTTAGCAACTTATTAGATATTATAGTTAATTTTTGTTGAGGTATGTATTTAAAGTAAGGGTAGGTAAGCCCCTTAAGCTAACTTGAAGCAGATGACTGCACAGTTTCTTTTCAAATGGAAATGTCCTCAGACTCATCTGTCCATGGTCCTTTTCTGGCCTGTGTTTTCTCCTTATGCTGCCACCATCTTCTATTGTTATAAAGTTCCTGGAATTCCATTTTGACCTAGACACTAATTTGTTTTGATAACATTGTTTTGCAACCATAATATCAATTAATTCATTTTCATGGAGTTTGTTTTCATATAAATATGATTTAGTAAAAAAAAAAAATAAGTTGATGCTAACCATGTTCTACGCATTGTGCGAGGTGTTAGAGATACAAAAAGGAAGAGACTGTATTTTTGTGTTGTTTATTATACTACTCTCCTCTGGCCCAAGAACTCCTCAAGAATGGAAGCTGGACCAAATACCTTGTTTAGTACATTTGAGATTTGAAAGAAATCCAGTGTGGGAGGATTAATGAATGAGAGAGAGAGTGACAGAAAATAAAGGTAGAGATGTAGGCTGGGGCCAGCTTATGATACAATTTTAGATTTGTATCTTAAATTCACTGGGAAGCTATTGAAGATTTTTAAGTGGGGACAGAAAGGATTAACGCTGAACTTTAAAAGGAGAATCTGATGTAATGTGGAGGGGCAAGAATGGGTATAATTTGAAATGTTACTTTTGTAGAAAGTAGATGATCAACCTCATATTTTATGGAAAACTGATTAAACTGAAAAATATCAAAATGAATTCTTGACACATTTTTTCACACCACTTATTACAAAAAGTAGCAGAATTGCAGCATCACCACCAACTTACATACCCTCACTACCCAAATTTTGTTCTCAAATACTAGTAGCCTCTCAAAGGAATTAGGTTTCCTTGAATTTCAGCTGATATCATGCCTTAAAGGAAGAAACAATTTTTTTCCAGGATGGGCCTGGAGCATCCTATTGTAACCAGAAAACAAGGATACATTCAAGACAAAAACAAAGGAACTAGCTTGACATGGCCAAGTTGTAACAATTTGAGCATCAATAATAATTATGGTTAATTAAAATATATAAATATTTTGAAACGCAATGAGTTCATTAATGGTACTCAAGATAGAAAATATCAAGTATGGACAAAGTGGTAGTGATAGGAAAATAAATATGGATTATATTTAATTTGTTATTATTTTCAATAAGTAGTGACATGCTAATATAGCTGAATAACTTGTTTCATTTAAATATATGTCTGTATATAAAGTATAAATAGGTGTTTCATCTGTATAGTAAAGAAAGGTAATTATTGAAAACTGTAAGTCAAATAATCCAGAAAAGCAGAACGAAAAATAAGAAGCACCAAGCAGCAGTGGTGGGAGCAAGTAAAAAGGAAAGAAAGGTTGCCTGTACTAAGTTGCAGAATGATGATTTAGCCAGATGTCCTAAAAAAGGAGGAGCTAACTGCTCAGATTTGTTCCTTATTTCTTTGGAATCTCTAAATGGAACTGCTATTTATAGTTATAAAATAATAAGGCATATATAAAGTTTATACTAATAGATCAGGTAAATATATCTTAATAGCAGGACATAAGTTATGTAATTTTGGTCAGTGAGAATTAAAGGATACATCATTTCTGTGGGAGACATTAGTTTGTAAAAGTCTGACCTTTATATAAAAGGAGTAAACTTAAAAAGGCTTATTGATGTAATACATGAGGTTTAAATTTAGAAAGAAAGCTCAGCCTAGTGACCAGAAGCTTGAGCTTAAATCACTTTGAAAGAAGTAAACAAATTCCATTCTCTGACCAAAAATCAGTTAGTTGATAATCCAGATCCCATAACCTTAACTGGCCTAAGACAATAATGTTTTACTTTGTGGTCTGATGAAATTACTACAAGCCCAAAAAGGCATCAAAAGAAAGTATTACTACAACTCTTAGAAGGTATCAGTATAAGTAAAATTACAGTCTTAGGAAAAAGTAAAGGAATTTATTTATTTATTTATTTATTTGGCTGTGCCGGGTCTTAGTTGTGGCACATGGGATCTTTAGTTGCGGCATGCGGGCTTCTTAGTTGTGGCACGTGGACTCTTAGTTGTGGCATGCATGCAGGATCTAGTTCCCCAACCAGGGATTTAACCCAGGCCCCCTGTATTGGGAGCACAGAGTCTTATCCACTGGACCACCAGGGAATTCCCAATATTTTTAAAAAGTAAAAATAAAAATAAAGAGTTTGAGGTGTTAAAGAATTAGCCATTTTAGCTAGTGTACTAATTACCCATTTTAAGCTGATAAACTAATAACAGTTTAATTTCCATAAAGAAATTAAGTTTTAATTAGTATTGTATGTTTAAGAAAATGACTTTTCAAAATTTTTTTCAAAAAAATTTTAAAGTCTGTTTCTTAGATCCCTGAATTTCTTTAAACCAGTCTATCTACACATTTATTCCAAGAGGGAAGTGCCTATATTTATAGATAGATGTAGATATATATGAATCTGAATAACCCTTAAATCCTAGAGAATGTCTCACTTTTGAACAAAAAACTAAGTAACAAAATTCTAATATGCATAAAGACTATGGTCAATCTTACAGAATCTGCTGTGCTTTACTAAATACCAATAAATAGGAAGAAGTATTTTAATCCCTTAGTATAACTGGTAGAATTTAATACTTGCACATTAGAATACATAAGTACTTACATATTAGAATACTTACATAGTAGAATCTCTTTCTTGAGACAGAGTTGCCTCATGTGAAGCTGAAACAGCAGAAGGGGATCTAGGATACAGTCCATAACCTTCACTTGGAGTGATTATCTGCCTACCCAGAATCCTTCAAAGTGAAGAACATAAAGAGATAATTAAGCACCTTCACCTGGCATACATACAAAATGTAGGTATTTTTGGAACAAATTTGATGGCTCTACATAGAAGTCTAGTACATACTTAGTCCGTTACTGATTTAGAATGATTCTTGAGAGAAATGTGAATCCAGAGCCTTTTTAAAGGTATATCTCTCTCCTATACAATGGAGATAGAAAGGATAAAGCTTTTCCACCCCACGTAAAAAAATCCAAGGGAACTGGGCAAACATTTGTAATTTTCCCTCCATACCCTATAGCAATCTTCATTAAATTTGCCAAAGTGGGTGAAAGCCAGGCCAAATTAGTGAAAACTGAATTATATTCTTAAGAACATGAAGCTTTATAAATTTTAAGTATGTGTAGTAAGTGCACTGATGCGGTTTCTAAGGAAAGCTTCCTAATAGCCTGTTTGCTTTCAAGTATACATGCATAAGGATTTACTTATAGACAACAGTGTAATCAAATACATTTTCTGACCCTCTTGTTCAAAAGAAAGGCTGTTTGGACAGCCACAGTACACAGATCACAGTTACTGGTACAGAAGTTGTTTTTACTTGATTAGGACAATATATTGGTAGTTATGAAAACTCTGAGAAACTTCCATCAACATAAGTTTTCTGTCATCTGAGGCTTTATACCACATTGCCTCATTTATATAAATCCATGCCCATAGAGATTTCAGAATACAAGCTTTCTTGGAAATCTGCTCTTCAAACTTTAGTATTAGCCATGAATATACAAGGGCTCTAATACCTGAGGTGAGGAAAGCTACATGTCCACTGTTGGCACTCTTCTTGTAGACTTTTAATATGTACACTCAACTTCTGCTCATACAAGAGCTCGTCAATGGCTGTGAACATTGCGTGGACTTTTTCAGTGGCATTTTGATCAAGTTCCTAAAAGAAATTATCACCCCAAAATATTTAGATGAGCTTCAATCTCTGTTAATAATCATAAAGGTTGAAAGCAATCAGATTCTGTTTTATTTTCAATATTTAGTCCATTTGTGTGAAAGAAAAGTTAAGTTAGTGAGTTTTGGGATCTTACAATATTCAGATGGCCTCCCTATTCCTATTTAAAGAAAATTTGTGGAAATATCTACGTTTTTAAAGTAACATTTTCTTCATCAAAAAAATCCAGTAAAGTATAAAGAAAGATAAAAATTACTAATAATTCTACCACTCAAAGATAATGATTGTTAATTTTATTATAGTTTCTTGGTTCCAGTATTTTTTTTAGAGCGTAAGGTAGACAGTCAATCCCATATATATATTACTTCGTATTCTGCATTTTTCACCTGACAGTTTACATTAAATCTTGGCCCTATAATTTATCCTTTTGCAGCAGCCAAAAGGATGGCTATAAAATGTGAATCTGATTATGTTATCTGATTCTCTGCTTACTCTCTACTTCATCTGTTTTTAAGTGCCCTTTTACATTCTGGTGGAAGAAGAGTTACACCTTTTGTTTATTTTTTGCGGTACGCGGGCCTCTCACTGTTGTAGCCTCTCCCGTTGTGGAGCACAGGCTCCGGACGCACAGGCTCAGCGGCCATGGCTCACGGGCCCAGCCGCTCCGCGGCATGTGGGATCTTCCCGGACCGGGGCACGAAGCCGTGTCCCCTGCATCGGCAGGCGGACTCTCAACCACTGCGCCACCAGGGAAGCCCCTAGGTGATTTTCTTAGTTCTCTCATTCAATTCACTACTATTCTGTTTCACTGGGTCCAGTTTACATATAGTAGTTATGTCCAGTTATCTACTCAGATATTTCAAATGCTATTCATGTCTAAGATTTTAAACTGAATTTTCATATCTGTCTTTTCTTAAATTAAAATCTCTACTTGCTTTGTTTTAAGCCTCCAATAATTTTAATGGATGCTATCTTATCCCTTAACTCTTTGAATATTTAAAAAGTTTAATAAACCTTATTGAGGAATAGTTTACATACAATAACATTTCAAGTATCTACAGCACAATGACATTTGACAAAGGTATTCACCCAAGTAACCACCATTGTTTTCCAGATGTAGAAGAACATTTCTGATACCCCAGAATGTTCCCTCATACCCCTGTGCAACTGAAGTTTCCTGTTCCCCATGTCATGAAACCATTGATCTGATTTATAGCACTATAAATTAGTTTTGTCTGTTACAGAACTTCATATAACCAGGATCATGCAGGATGTACTTTTTTGTGTTTTGCATTATATACATATATCAAATTATTACTCTGTATACCTAAAAGTAATGCAATGTTATATGTCAATTATATCTCAATTTTTAAAAAGAAAAAAGAAAAAGAAAAAAAGACATGAGATACATTGTGAGGATAAAATACACAAAACTTGATGACAGATTCAATGAGAGAGGTGGAATGTTTTTTCAGCAGAATGTTTTTGAGGTTCACTGATGTTGTTGCACGTGTTAGTATTCATTACATTACATTCACTACATAGTATTGCGTTGTAAGAATATGCCACGATTTGTTTATCCATTCTCCTGTTGAGGGACATTTGCATTATTTACAATATTTTTTATTATGAGTAAATATATGAACATTCATGCACAAATCTTTTTCTGGACATATATTTTTATTTCTCTCAGATAAATACCTAGCAGTAGAATTACTGGTCTTATAATGAGTGGATCTTTAATGTTAAAATAAACTACTAAAACTATATCGCAGAATAAATGTACAGGTTAGCACTGTACACAAGAAATGTGTGAGCATTAAATATGCTCCACATCCTGGCTAATACTAGGTATTGTCAGTCTTTTTAGTTTTAGCTATTTTAGTGAGTGTGTATCGTGACCGTTTTAAATTTGCTCTTCCTTGATGATAGTGATATTGAGCATCTTTCTATATGCTACTTGGCCATTCATATGTTTTCTTTTACAGAGTGTCCAAGCTTTTTGCTCATTTTTTTTCAACTGGTCTATTTATCTCCTTCATATGGAGTTGTTTTTTTTTTTTTTTGCTGTATGCAGGCCTCTCACTGTTGTGGCCTCTCCCGTTGCGGAGCACAGGCTCCGGACGCGCAGGCTCAGCGGCCATGGCTCACGGGCCCAGCCGCTCCGCGGCATGTGGGATCTTCCCTGACCAGGGCACGAACCCGTGTCCCCTGCATCGGCAGGCGGACTCTCAACCACTGCGCCACCTGGGAAGCCCCATATGGAGTTTTAAGTTTTGGATACAAGTCCTTTGTCAGATATATGTATTGCAAATATTCTCTCCCAGTCTGGCTTGTTCTTTCATTTTCTTGATAGTGAATTTGGGAGCACAAAAGATTTTAATTTTGATGGAGTCAAATTTATCCATTTTTTTAGGCTTGTGCTTTTGTTGTGTCGTATCTATGAATTCGTTGCCTAATCCAGAGTCTTGCAGGTTTTCTCATATGTTTTCTTCTAAAAGAATGGCAGGGGCTTCCCTGGTGGCGCAATGGTTAGGAATCCACCTGCCAATGCAGGGACACAGGTTCGAGCCCTGGTTCGGGAAGATCCCACATGCTGCAGAGCAGCTAGGCCCCTGCGCCACAACTGCTGAGCCTGCGCTCTAGAGCCCGCGCGCCTAGAGCCGGTGCTCTGTGACGAGAGAGGCCACTGCAATGAGAAGCCCGCACACTGCAATGAAGAGTAGCCCCCGCTCACCGTAACTAAAAAAGAAAGCCCACGCACAGCAACGAAGACCCAACGCAGCCAAAAATAAATTAATTAATTAAAAAAAGAAAAAGAATGACAGTTTTTGCACTTACATTTAAGTTTATAATTAATTTGAGTAAGTTTTCTGTATGATGTAAGGGTCTGAATTCATCCAATTTGCATATGGATATCCAATTGTCCCTGCAACAATTATTGGAAAAAATATCCTTTCCCTGTTGAATTGTCATCACCAAAAGTCAACTGACCATAAATATGAGTTTATTTCTAGATTCTCTATTCTGTGTCATTGAATTATAGGCCTATCCTTATGCCATTACCATACTGTTTTGATTACTGTACCATTATATTAAGTTTGAAATGTGATAGAGTAAGTCCTCTGTCTTCTTTGTTAAATTAATTAATTTACTTTATTATTTATTTTTGGCTGAGTTGGGTCTTTGTTGCTGTGTGCAGGCTTTCTCTAGTTGTGGCGAGCGGGGGCTACTCTTCATTGTGGTGCACAGACTTCTCATTGTGGTGGCTTCTCTTGTTTCAGAGCATGGGCTCTAGGCACGTGGGCTTCAGTAGTTGTGGCTCGTGGGCTCAGTAGTTGTGGCGCACGGGCTTAGTTGCTCTGCGGCATGTGGGATCTTCCCAGACCAGGGCTCGAACCCCTGTCCCCTGCATTGGCAGGTGGATTCTTAACTGCTGCACCACCAGGGAAGTCCATGTCTTCTTTTTCAAAATTGTTTTGACTAATCTGGGTCTTTTGCAATTCCATGTCAATATGGATCAGCTTATCAGTTTCTACAAAAAGCCTGATGGGATTTGAATAGGGAATGCATTGGATATATAGATCAATTTGGGGAGAAATGCCATCTCAGTATTTAGTCGTCCAATCCATGAACATGGAATGTCTCTTATTTGTGTATATTTCATTTTTCTCAGCAATGTTTTAAATTTTTCAGTATATAAGTTTTGTTCTCCTTTCATTAAGTTTATCCCTAACAATTTTTTGTTCTTTGTGAATTGAATTTATTTTTAATTTTCACTTTCAGATTATTCATTACTAATGTGTAGAAATACAATAGGTTTTAAAAATTTAGATACAATTCCCATACGATGATATTCATCCTTTTAAAGTGTAAAATTTAGTGGTTTTAGTTTATTCCCAGTGCTTTGTAGCATATGCACAGTTGTGCAACCATCACAACTATCTAATTCTAGAACATTTTCACCCCCAAAGAAACCCTGGCTCCATTAGCCATCCCTCTCCATTCCTCTCTCTGCCCAGCCCCTGCCCACTACTGATCTACTTTCTGTCTCTATAGATTTGCTCCTCTGGATATTTCATATGTATGAAACCATGTAACTTGTGGCCTTTTGTATCTGGCTTCTTTTACTTAGCATGTTTTTAAGGTTCATCCATAGTGTAGCATGTATTAGTATTTCTTTCCTTTTTATGGCTGAATAATATTACATTACATAAATATACCACATTTACAACTGATTTTTGTAAATTGAACTGATATACTGTGACTGTCCTGAACTCATTTCTTAGTTCTAGTAGATGGAGTTGGGCTGGGGGCGGAGGGAAAGTTTTAGGATTTTCTACATCATGTCATCTGTGAATGAAGATAGTTTAACTTATTCCTTTCCACTGTGGATGCCTTTTACTTCCTTATTTTGGTCTATTGCACTGACTAGAACCTCCAATACAATGCTGAATAAAGGTGGCAAGAATGGACATCTTTATCTTGTTCTGATCTGAAGAGGAAAATATTCAGTCTTTTCCCATTACATACACTATTAGCTTTAGGTGCCTTTTGTCAGGTTGATGAAGTTCCCTTTTATTTTCTAGTTTTTTGAGAGTTTTTATGATGAGTGGGTGTTGGATTTTATCATATGCTTTTTCAAAGTGTCTATTGAGATAATCATGTCAGTTTTTCACATTACTATAATGTATTAATTTAATTTTCTGATGTTGAACCAGCTGTGCATTCTGTGGATAAATCCCACTCAATCAGGGTAAATAATCCCTTTATGTTGATAGATTAGGTTTGCTAATAATTTAAAGTTTTTTGTATAATTTCGAGAGGAATATTAATTTGTAGTTTTCTCTTCATGTGATGTCTTTGTCTGACTTTTGTGTTATAGGATGGCCTCATAGGATGATTTAGGAACCATTCCCTCTTTTCTGAAAGATTGGTATTATTTCTTCTTTAAATATTTAAGCATATATAGAAATACAGTTGAT